ATGTTTTCTTGAATTGTGTGTGTATGTATTTTGCAAATACATATGATTTGCAAATATTTGCACCTTGTGTGTGGCTTGTCTTTTCATTCTCTCTTCATTCACTGTCTTTCAGAGAATAGAAATTTTTAATATTGTTGAAGTGCAACTTGTCAATTTTTATTTTTGTGGATCATGCTTTTGGTGTCACATCTGAGAATATTTTGCCTAATGGAAGGTCACAAATAGTTTCTCCTATGCTTTAATCTAAAATACCTACAGTTTTAGGTTTTACACTTAGGTATATGATCATTTTGAGCTAATTATTGTCAAGTTATTCTTGCACTCCTGGGATAAACCCTACTTGTTCATGATACATCTTTTTATAAATTGTTGTATTCCATGTGCTAAAATCGTGTTAATAATTTTTTGCACTTACAGTCATGAGAGATACTGGTCTATGATTTTCTTTTCCTATAATATCTTTATCAAGTTTTGTGATCAGGATACTGCTGACCCCCTAGAATCAGATGGAAAGTATTCCTTCTTATTTCTTTTGTGGATAAGATTGTGTAGAGTTGGTATTAATTTTCCTAAAATGTTTGCAGAATTTCCTAGTGAAGCTAGTGAAGTAATATGGGTCTGGAGTTTTCTTTGTAGGAAGGTTTTCCATTTATTTAAGAGATGTAGGACTATTCAGGTTTCCCATTTTTTCTTGAGTAGGCATTGGTGGTTTGTGTCTTTTAAAGGAAATGGTCTTTATCACCCAAACGACAAATTTACTGGCACATAGTTGTTCAAAATATTCCGTTATCATCCCTTTAATAACTGCATGATATCTCTCATTGCTGATACAGGTAATCTGTGTCCTCTCTCTTTGTCTGAACAATCTGGCTAGAGATTTATTAGTTTTTTTTATCTTTTTAAAAAAATCCAGCTTTTAATTTCATTGGTTTTCTCTAATTTTTCTTCTATTTTATTGATTCCCACTCTTAACTTTCATTATCCCATTTCTTCTGCTTACTTTGTGTTTGACTGGCTCTTACAGTTTCTTAGAGTGGAAGCTGAAATCATTGATGTGATATCTTTCTTCTTTTCTTATACAGGCATTTATGTAACTTTCCCTCTGAAAACCTCAGCAGTGTTTCACAAATTTTAATATGTTGTATTTTCATTTTCATTCAGTTCAAAATACTTGCTAATTTCCATTTTAATGTCTTCTTTGATTCATGGGTTTGTTATAAATGTGTTCAAATATTTGGGGGCTTTGCAGAAAACTTTCTGCTATGTTTTAGTTTAATTCCATTATCATCAGAGAACACACTCTATATTACTTGAATTTTCTTATACTTATTTAAATTTGTTTCATAGCCATTATATAGACTATTTTGGTACATGCTATATACTTTAAAAAATGCCTCTTCTGCTGTTATTGAATGCATTTTTCTATAAATATCAATTAGGTAAATTTGGTCCGTAATGTTATTCTAGTCATCTATATCCTTACAGGTTTTTTTACTTGTTCTGTTAATTATGAAACAGGGTATTATTGTTGCTCACTAGAGTTTTAGATGTTTCTCTTTCTCCTGGCAATTCTATCAGCTTTCACTTCAGGTATTTTGAAGCTGTGTCATTTTTTAAAAATTAGAATCATTATGTTCTCTTGATAAATTAGCCCCTTAATCATCAGATGGCCCTATTTATCCCTAGTAATTTCCTTTCACTGAAGTCTACTTTATCTGATATTAATACATCCATTCTTACTTTCTTTGGATTAATTTTATCATTGTATATATTTTTCGTGAATTTACTTTTAACATATTTGTGTCTTTATATTTAAAGTTAATTTATTATAGGTAGCATATAGATGGATGTTGTATTTTATCTAATCTAACAATGTCTGATTTTTAAATGGGAAGTTTAGATTATTTATATTTCATGCAATTATTTATACACATGGCTTTAAGCCTACCATCTCGTTATTCATTTTCTATTTCTGTTCTTTCTTCCTCTTTTCCTCTTTGTCTTGATTTGGATTAATTATTTTTAATATTTCATTTTATTTACTTTTTTGACTTGTTAGCCATAACTGTCTATTATTTTAATGATTGTTTGGGTGATTATATACTTTTAACTTAACATAATCTACTTTCAGTTGATATCACATCATTTCACAAATAGTATAAAAAATCTTTCTTCCATTTCTCTCCTAGTGGCACCTATGTTATTTCCATCACACATTTTATTTCTACACATTATCTCCACAATATATTATTATTATTTACTATTGCTTTAAACAACCAATTCTCTTTTAAAGAGACAAAAATAATTAGCACTGTGGGGTTGTGGGTTTTTTTTGTTTTTGACACGCAGTCTTGCTCTGATACTCAGGTTGGAGTGTAGTGGTGTAATCATGGCTCACTATAGCCTCAACCTCCTGCCTCAGCCTCCCAAGTAACTGGAACTACAGCTGTGGACCTTCACTGAACCTGACTAATTTTTGTATTTTTGTAGGGATGGAATTCCAGCATGTCGCCCATGCTGGTCTCAAATTCCTGGGCTCAAGGGATCTGCCCGCCTCAGTATCCCAAAGTGCTGGAATTACAGGCATGAGCCACCATGTCAGGCCTAGTAGCATTGTTATATTACTTATGTAGTCACCATTGCCAATGCTCTATATTTCCATCTGGTATCATTTTTCTTCAGCCTGAAGGATGTTCTCTAACATTGCTTATCATGAAGATCTGCTGGTGATGAGTTCTTCAGTTTGTGAATATCTTAAGGTCTTTATATTGCCTTAAATTTTGAAAAACATTATCATTGGGAAAAGTTTTCTATATTAACAGGTTCCTCCCCACCTCCTCTTTTAGTATTCTAAAGATGTTCTTCCACTGTCTTCTTACTTGCATTGTTGCCAACAAGAAATCTGCTGTCAGCCTTATTTTAGATCCTCTTGTACATAATACGCCTTTTCTCTCTGCTTTTAAGATTTTCTCTTTATCACTAATTTTAAACAATTCTATTATAATGTGCCTTGGTTTTGTCTCTTCATGCTTCTTGTGCTTGGAATTTGTTGAGTTCCTTGAATCAGTGGGTTATAGCTCTCAGTTTTGCACATAGAAATTGTTCAGACACTATTTCCTCCAATATTTTTCTGTTCCTTGCTTTAACCTGTCAGAGACTATAAATACTCAGAAATGAGGCCATATGAAATTTTCTCACATCTCACTGATGCTCTGTTCTTTTTTTTTTTTTTTTTTTTAAGTATTTGTTTCCTCTCTGGTTTTCCTTGTGAATACTTTTGTTATCTTCTCAAGTTCACTGCTATTTTCTTCCACATTGTCTAATCTGGCATTAGCAATGTTTAGTATATTTTTTGTCTTATATATTGCAGTTTTCATCTCTTGAAATTTGAGTTTTTTTATATCTTCCGTGTATTTAGTTAACATGTTCAATCTTTCCTCCAGCTTCTTGAGTATAGAGAATACAGTTAAAATAACTCTTTTAATGTCCCATCTAGTAATTCTATCATCTGTGTCATTTTTGGGTCAGTTACAATTGATTGATTTTTCTCTTTAGTATAACTGTGGACTAAATGAGCTGAAGCATCTCTGGCTCCATGTTCCATGGTTTCGCATTGGCATTGGCATTGGCATTGCAAGTTCATGCTCAAAGTGTCTTTACAGAACTCATTCTGCTTCAGAAATCTTACTACCCAGTCTGTGTACAGCTCCATACCAAACTGAGACTTGCTTTAGGGTTGTCTGCCACTACTTAGGAACTATGTGTTTAGGACTCTATTAGCACTGGAGAGTTTGCATAATGCCAAGCTACCATCTTTCCCATCTGCCTGAGTTTTTCAAGTGATGTACCCTGCTCATCCACTAAGGTATCTGCTACCACACTTGGCACTCATTGGCAATTGTTTGACTGGACTTTAACTGACAGGCTGTGTAGTGTTGTGGCTAAGTGTCTACTTTCAGGTTATAGGGCCTGACTGCTTCGGTTTGCATTCCTGCCAAACCACTTAGTAGGTACGGCTTTGAGCAGGTGATTAACTTCTCTGTACCTCAGTTTCCTCACCTGTAAAGATAATAATGATACTCATCCTATCAGATTGTTGTACGGATAAAATTTGACAATGCAATTTAAGGATATGAGAATAGCATCTGGCTTAGACACTTTGTTGTTAGAGTAAGCGGTGCAGCCTGCATCTACACCTGGGAATTTGAGTCTGTAGATCACATTCTTAATCATTATATGATATCCTTATATCTGCTTTGCAGGTTAGAGAAAATTTCCCTTCTGTATTTATGGCTGGATCAACTTCTCTGATGATTTCAGCTTAAGCACATCCTAAGTGCCTATCTAGCCAGAAGTCATTGGTAATGGTTTTTTAAGTCCTGAAGTATGATAGAAATCATTTTTTTCAACACTAAGTGAAAACAAAATATCAAAACTAAAGACCAAGAAAAAAGAAAGTGATTAGAAAACAATACTTTGGGACTCTTGGAGATAAATCAACTTTCTTCCTTAATCTGTTTTCCTTTATTGTATCTTCCTAAATCAGAAAAAAAACAAATATGAAGGACACTTATGGTCCCTTACAAGCCAGCATTTTTTGGTCTCCGTGATTATTCTTTCACAGTTCAATATTTTATATTCAGAAGATGGAAAAATGGTTAAGAATACACACAAAAATTTAAGTTTGTTAATTAGCAATCAAAACAGATATAAAGAAATGAGTTATAATAATTATAGAGTAAAGCAGCAGTTTGTCTACAACATAGGTACATGTTGAAGGCCAACATTTCACCTTTTAAAATATTTTTAAAACACTACCAAACTAAGTGGCATACATTTTCAAGCTTACTTTAGATTCAGAAATTAATATTGTTATTATGAACACAAATATAAACATTGAATGAATATTCAATCCAAACCAGGAGGCATCACAATTGAACTGCTCAGAATTCTTGAAATTAGCATTTATTATCTTGAGCTAAATAACTCATAAGCATTACCTTTTCTGTAGGATTAATTTATATCCTTCTAGTGATGTTCCCTCAGCAGCCTTGACTCTGATAGGATGACCAATAGCCAGGCAGCCCTGAGTTATCGCTCGACTCAGGATCATTCCAGTCTTCCAATGAATAGAGAGGGGGAGAAAGGTCTAAATAAGTTAAAAGAACCAGAAAATTCAACAATGTGTCACAAATAGTGAGGTCATTATGCCTGGATAACCCTGGATATTAACAGTTGCTGAAAGTGAAACACTACCCACAACTTAGCAGTCAGCGAGCCCTGCTCAGAATCAGTAATCTTCTGTCCAACAAGGGTGGCATTTTACAGTTCAGTGCAAACTAAAACAGACCTTGATATCTTCATTTGTCTTTTTTTTTCTGTGCATATTTCACAGTGCAGCAATTTGGGGTCCATCACGTGTCACTTGCTGTAGTTATAACTACAGAGCTTACTGGAAATATGTACGCACAGAAAAAAAATAGTGCAGTGAACTGAAAAGACTGAAACAAATCCTTAACCTTTGTATTAATTTAAAGTTTTACTCTGGGTCTAAATATCATGGGTTAAACATTTTAAGGTGGTTTGTGAACTGCTTTTGTTTTAGATGTTAGGATTTCCTGCCAAGGAAATTAAAGGGGAGTATTGCTTGAAGGGCCATTTAACCATTTTCTTACTTAGTGAGTCAATACAACATTTTTTATAAGTGACAACCACAGAGAAATTTGTCTACATCTACTGGAGATTTATGGCACGTAAAATTCTCTCTTAACAGGTAAAAAGGTTTATTTTTAAAAGAAGAAGAGAGAGTTCAATCTTAAAGGATTTTCAGAATTGCTTCCTTTTTAGCATATACTTTATTTCTTGTGTTTGTAGTGTGGAAAAGAAACATGATGATGACTGATGACTTAGGAAAAATATTTCTTTAAAAAATTGGTTTTAATAAGCACTGAATGAAATCCTTGTTTGACCATGCTTGTCTACACAGAAAGAACTGCTTAGGGTGAGGAAAGGCAGCCATCATTTATTAAGCACTTTCTGTATACCAGACACCATGGTTGAACATCACACATGCTTTCTCATTTCACCTTCGCAGCAACTGTGCAAAACAGGTATGACTAACATCATTCATAGAAGAGAAAACAGTAGTTCAATGCAGCTAAGTAATTTTCCCAATGTCACACAAGAGATTTCAATTATTTAATAACTCCAAAACTATACTCTTTTGGTAGGCATTCCAATTATTTTTGAGGAGATTTTAGACAAGTATATGTTTTTGATTATCATGAAATTCTAGAAACAGATACTACGAAATTAAAGAATATGGGATCTGAGAATGGACCTTCTATAGCAACTAGTCCAACTTGTTTTCATAGAACACTAAGGCCTAGATAACATGTGTGACTTGTCTGCTGTCATACAGCTATTCAGTGGCAGGGCTGAGACTAAAACACTTCCATTATGCTCACAGGTAAGTCAAATATTGAGGAGTGTTTTATATTACAATGAAAGTTCTGAAGTCAAAGAGACCAAGAATCTTTCCTCTGCCATTACTAACCTTAGTTTCTTCAGCTGTATAATAAAAATCTGCACAGTTATTATAACATTAAATGAAATAATAAATGTGAATAAAGTACCTAATGTAATGTCTGACATATAGTATTCAACTAAGTGGAGATATTATTATTAAATCAGAAACAAAATACCATGTAAAAAGGGCAAATAGTTAACATAGCCTCCAGCTGGAAATCCAGATTTCAGGAATAGCTCATGTAAACTTACTATGCTTTGACACATGAAATAAATAATATGTCTTAGTACCTTTGTGTCTTAATTATTCTACATGTTCTTTTTTAACTTTTAAAGGACAATAGCTAAGGGCAATTCAAAATTTCATTTGAGAAAATAGTGTCAATCTTCCCCTGCCCCCAGCAAACCTCACTGGGTGACTTCACATTCACTGGAGTGCTAAGAAGTAGCAAAATTGTCTGTGATGAGGGGGCAAAGGGAGATACAGGAAGGATAATTGTGAACTGCACCATCTCTTTTCAACATAAATACATATTTACAAAATGTACTACAGTAGTAAGATGAAAGAAAAGGACAATTCTATGTTCTTCTATAAGTCATATGCAATAGTACAATAAATAATAAGTGAAAAAGATTAAATATTACCAACACACAGGAACAAAATGTGTTAGGCACTGTTCATGTTTATACTCAGGGATTTCTTTTAAAACAATGTCCTTGCTAAGATGATATGCAAAGCTGGTATATGTTGGTAATCTACCAGGCAGGAAAGCTGAGGGTTAAAATTCAAAATGAAGATCTAGGAGTAGAAGCATATTCAGACAAATCTCATGAAAATAATGAGTCTGTGGACTACAGACAAATTCTATGCTTGGTTTAAATATACTGTGAGGTATAAACTAATGAGCAGCATGTCTGATAGTGAACTGAATGCTCACTTGAGAATCTACATAAGTCCTGTGGGCTAGGCAATACCAACAGCAGAGATAGCATTTATAACAGCCAACAATTTATCACGCTTTCACTTCTATGCTCGCATGCATGAGAGCACTGGGTGCCAGCAAGTGCGGTGAGCCAGCAAGCAAGGGGAGGTCACTCAGGGAAAACAGACACTCAGGTACCTTGGTGATCAGCCACACACTGGCTGCAGGCCAAAGGATCGATGGCGCTATTTGACTCCTGCTGCTTGCTTCACTGCCTGAGAAACTCCACTTTCCAATGGAAACAGAGGCATGAAGGACAATATTGGGATCTACCTATATCATGAGAAGAAGTATGCATTTTTAACTCATAGTCTAAGAGTTAAACTCTTCAACACACTTAACCAAAATAAGTTATCCTAGAACATTATTTATTCTGATTGATACCTCTTTTCAAAAAGTAGCATGCAATCCCCTTTAATTCAATTCAATCAAGAGTTGTTGAGCACCGACTCTAACATGCAAGACCCTATGCTGTGTGGTGTGGAATATTATAAAATATTTTTTCCTGACCCAAAGAAACATACAACAGAGTACAAGCAATTTCTCTCTCTCTCTCCCCACTCACCTTTCATGATAAGCTCCATATGAACGATTAAATAGTAGTATTACAGGCATGAAAAAATGGTACGCTCATTTCCGCTGGAGTAACCTAAAGGTGGAGCATCTTGGAAGACGTAACAGGTAAAGTAGGCCTTGAAGGATGGGGACAATTTGACAGGAATAATAAAGAATAAAAAGGTATTCCAAGTAAAGGCAAGGAAGCTTAATCAATGAGTCTTAGGATTCGCAGGTAGACTCAAAAAGTAAATTTGCCCAAACTGTAGAAAGTGTCAAGTGTAAAGCTATGGAGTCAGGTGGACAGTAGGGAGCCAGTGAAAGCTTTCTTTCTTTTTTTTTTCTTTCTTTATACTTTAAGTTCTGGGGTACATGTGCAGAACATGCAGGTTTGTTACATAGGTACACATGCCATGGTGTTTTGCTGCACCCATCAACCTGTCATCTACATTAGGTATTTCTCCTAATGCTAACCCTCTCTAGCCCCCCACCCCCCAACAGGCCCCAGTATGTGATGTTCCCCTCCCTGTGTCCCTGTGTTCTCATTGTTCAACTTTCCTTGTGAGTGAGAACATGTGGTGTTCGGTTTTCTGTTCTTGTGTTAGTTTGCTGAGAATGATGGCTTCCAGCTTCATCCATGTCCCTGCAAAGGACATGAACTCATCCTTTTTTATGGCTGCATAGTATTCCATGGTGTACATGTGCTACATTTTCTTTATCCAGTCTATCATTGATGGGCATTTGGGTTAGTTCCAAGTTTTTGCTATTGTGAACAGTGTTGCAATAAACATACGTGTGCATGTGTCTTTATAGTAGAATGATTTATAGTCCTTTGGTTATATATCCAGTAATGGGATTGCTGGGTCAAATGGCATTTCTGATTCTAGATCCTTGAGGAATCGCCACACTGTCTTCCACAATGATTGAACTAATTTACACTCCCACCAACAGTGTAAAAGTGTTCCTATTTCTCCACATCCTCTCCAGCATCTGTTGTTTCCTGACTTTTTAATAATCAAAACTATCTCGCTAACAGCAGACTTTAGTAAGGTTGATCTGGTAAAGGTAGAGGATAACAGACTGTAGAATGAAGACATCAAAGGCAGGGAAAATAGCTGGGAGTTCATACAATCTCCTAAGAATAAAGAAATATGAGCTGAGACTTTAGAGAGAGTTGTGGGGATGGACAGGGGGTACTGAAGGGGGAGACTTTGCACCCGTTTCTCCTGTGTTCCTTATCAGATTACATATGCCAAAGGTGTTGTGCACCTTCTATTCTAGCATTGCTCACTTAGACCTGATTGTCAAATTAGTAGGCACTCACATCACTTGTAGGAATTCTATTACTTCATACTTAATAAATTTTATCTCCTAAATTATATGATCACTTTCACTGAGTAATTATTCTAGGTTTTTTAGTACCAATATTTATTTGTGTATGCTTACAGGAATATACCAATTTATATTTAAAACTCAATAAATGATGTTGCTTTAATAACAATTTATTTCCTAACACTAAAACATCCATTCTATATCTGCGCTAATGCTAGATATTTGTTGAATACCAAATTATTTTTTAAAATGCATAAATTCAATGATGATTTAAAACAAAAAATGTTACAAGTGTAATCAGGCACTATCATAAAGATAAAACTAATATATGTGGTAATTATTCTATAATGAAAGTCACTTCTCAAGAGAAGAAAACGTCATATGACTCCTACATGTGAAAATGAAATTTTAAAAAATATAGCAACACCACCACATAAGCAGATTTGACTTACAGTGCTTACAGTGCCTGGATTCTGGCGGGGAATCCCCACAGTTTCTGAACAATGATAAACTACGTTGTACTAATCCGTTCGCCACAGGACTCAGCATTTAAAGTAGCAGTCTTACTCAACCTCCTAACTCCAAGTTGCCATCACACTCAAAACTCCCCTCTGCAACTGGGCAGAAGATTGTTTTGACTGAAATTAGTCAGACAGAAGAACCATACAGCCAACTGCTTCTTTGTACAGCACCTGCTGCCAGCGCCTACATTCTTGTTATCTCCACAACATGGTTTAATCTTTTAACAGTT